TTCCCAGAATTTCTCTGGTTTCTTGGCAAAAAATTCATTAAAATGTTTTTTTTTTGTTTTTTTTTTTTGTCATCCAAAGAATTCAAATTTTTACCATTGAGATAATTTTGTAAGGACCTGATTAAAAAAATTAGAAGGCGCAATGTCTGGTGAATAATAATAATAATAATAATAATAATAATAATAATAATAATAATAATGACAAAACCCGTACCCATCAGTGGCTACGTAGTGCAGGGTTGAAAAAGGAAACTGAAGGTTTTATCCTTGCTGCGCAGGACCAATGCTTGCTAACTAGGAATTATCAAGCACATATACTAAAATATTGTGTCAGCCCAAAATGCAGATTCTGTGATAAATATCCAGAAACGATTTATCATCTTGTATCAGGTTGTACGGTGTTGGCACCCACTGAATATAAAACCCGACATGACAGAGTGGGCCAATATCTGCACTGGAAAATCTGCAACTTCTACGGGAGAAAACTGAAAGAAACTGGTATGAACACCACCCAGACCCGGTTACGGAGAAAGGACCTGTTACAATTCTATGGGACTACACAATACACACTGACAGAACAATCAAGGCCAACCGCCCAGATATTGTTATTAAAGACCACAAACAAAAACGGTGCCTCCTTATAGATATGGCAGTCCCTGCCGACTGCAATGTATCTTTGAAGATATTCAAAAAGTTGTCAAAGTACAAGGACCTTGAAATAGAAATCGCGAAAATGTGGCATATGGGAACATCAACAATCCCTGTTGTAGTTGGAGCCCTAGTACTGGTTGGAAAAGATTGCAGTAGACTAATTGAAGGGATTCCTGGAAGTCCATGCCTCAAGGAGATACAGAAAATTGTTCTGACAAGTACAGCCCACACTTTACGAAGGGCTTTATCTATGTAATCTTTTTCTTTTTTATTTTGTCAGTGGAAAGTGTCATGACGCCATTTCTAACCTTAGGTCCCTGGGCGGGACCCGGAAAGAAATGTGTAAACGCCAGAAATCAAAGAAAATAAAAATAATAATAATAATAATAATAATAATAATAAGTTGCGTAACACATCTCAGCTAAGCTGCCACAATTTTTGCCGGGTCGCAAAAGAAACGTGAGGAAAACAATACTATCCTATTCGCCAATACGTTTTTCTTGAATTGCTACCTTTATTTCGTTCAGTTGCAAGCAGTACTTAATTAACTGTTTGCTTGGCAGAATCTTATAATAGAGGATTCCTTTCCAATCCTATCAGATGTACAGCATGATTTTCTTAGGATGAAGACTAGCTTTTAAGTTGGTTAAATTTAGCGCATGTCACTTACACCAGGATCTTTTTCGCTAAACATTGTTGAAAACGATCTATTTCTCATCACCCGTAAAAATTTGCTTCAAAAAGGGTGCATATATTCATTACGTTTATACAGCAAATCACAGATGAAATTCGATTCAAAAGATTCTTTTCACTCAGATCATGTGGTGCCCAAACATCGTAGCTACTTGAGTATCCAAGCTTCACTAAGTGATCATGGATTGTTGATTTTGAATATTTAGTGATTCTGACAATTCCTTGTTTTGTATTCTGGTTTATTCTCAGACAATGTCTTTCTTTCGTCAACTGTAATGGCTGTCTGACTGAGCGTTCTTTATCAATAAGGCTACAGTCACGAAGTCGAAACGTAGCGAACTACATACATAAAGTTCTGTCAGCTAATACACCTTCATCTTACACAGTGCTTGTCTTTTTTGTTACTTGCTAAGTATTTTTGCCTTTACGGTAAAAAGCATCAAATGTCTATAATGCACTTTATAATTTTTATAGTGATATAAAATTGACACGAATTAAGTAATTTTAAACTTTCTTTTTCAAGAAATCGTTTGAAGCATGCTTTAATTGGAAATCTCTATCTATAAAAGGCAGGATGTGTGTGTGTGTGTGTGTGTGTGTGTGCGTGTGCGCGCGTGTGTGTGTAACGAATGCGCGGCCGCAATTTTCGACGGATTTGCACCAAAATTTACATGCACATGCTACAAGGTAGCGGGAAGGCCAAGACCGACTTTGCATTTCCCAACTCCCATCGATAGTGGAAATAATCGATTTTTCATGCTTTTACGGCAGTTTTCATGTAGTTTGCGGCCATTTTCTACTGGCCAGAGTGAGAGCCTACAGCTGGCTGCCACGAATAGGCAGGAAGATTCTATTGGCCAGCGTGAGAGCCAACAGCTGACTGGCACGAATGTTAACTAGCATGCTAGCATGCAAAAACAATCTATACCTGCATTCGTCACAAGTTGGAAAAATTTAAATCTGCATGGCACTTTACTCCAATTGGCTCATTCGCTTGCTTAAACTCAACGTTGATTCTGATTCCGCAGAACTGGGTTGGGTGTGAAAAGTATTTGTTGTTAACATTCTTTTTTCATTCGGTTTTTCCAGTTACGAGTCCTTTTTTAAAGCTGATCGTTTTTTGTTCATTTTGTTTAGTTCTTTTTTCATAACAGAT